TCAGCAAGGTGTTATCAAGCCCTACAGATACCTCAGACACAGATGGACAATGCTAACCAACTGTTGACCTCCTCTGGGCCTTCCTAATGTGTTCATGACCTGGCAACAAGAGCAGGGCATGAAGATCCATGGGGCTCTCCACTTTCTTGATTCCTATGTGTACTGGCCTCTCAGAAAAATTTGAGCTCACTGTTTCCCTTAGACAGGTATTTTGGTTAAGGAAAGAGAGACAATTTGTGCCAATCTTGTCAGACTAAATAATGCAACTCAGACTCCATACATTCTCAAAGTCAATTTCTGTCTGCATAAGTTCAAATAAAAGTAGCTTCTACCCATCACCAACTGGAAATTATTCTTTGGGAGAGTTTACACATAAAAAAGCCAACAACATGACAAGCAAGCCAGCCAGTTTGCTTTCCCTGGGCTGTAATGCAATCAGAGGCAGGGGCTCAGTTATGCATCCCCAGCTCAGATCTGTTCAACATCTCCTCTGGCAGAGAGAAAAACAGAGGCTTGAACCTGGATCCTGCATTACCTCAAAGGCTTGGCAATGCCTCATAGCTTACCATGAAGACTTCTCACATGTGGTGCTCTTGCAAGTCACATAGCTCTAACCACATGTAACTCTAGATCCTGCCTTCTTCCAAGCAGGAAAGGTCAGTTCTTAGCCCCATACCTTCATCCAGATGCTCTGTGTGCTTCCTCTGATCCCTCAACTCCATGGTTAGTCATGCCCGCTCCCCAGAATGGCTGGTATGTATCTTGGCACAGAATCCCTGTGTAAGTTTGCATTGGGTTCTCCAGACCCTCCACCACCATGGAAACCGGAGAAAGACTCGATTTCATCTAGCCTGTGTCTGAGAACTGTGAAAAATGTGACAGCTGCTCAGTCAAGCACATTGCATTCAAAATTAAGTATAGCACTTTTCCAATGAGCAGATCTACAGCTGATTACAAAGGTTCCCCTTCCCTAAACCCCATCAGTAGAGCTCCACCCTCCTTCATACACATTCAGCTGCTACCAAACAGATGAGAAATGTGTGCTGCAGAAACAAAACCAGCAAGAGCCACATTTGGTTTGCCTGTCATGGATTTGATATACCAGTTGTCTTATGTGGGAGACTGGAAGGAAATCACATGCTAAAGGTCACATCTGAAGAAATGGTCTACTAACCACAAAATAGATGCTCAATAAACAAAGGGAGAAACAGAGTCCTCAGCTAATGCAAACTTGCAGTATGATTAAGTGACTGACTCTTAGCTCCTTTTCAACTTCTCTAGGTATGTGGTGCTGTGTTTTGTTATTAGAATTGGTATGTGGGGTCATTGCTCCATTCCTTCTCCAATCTGGTTGGCAATCCCTAGAAAGGGGTTCTCATGGCTTTTGTCCTTGCTAAATATCCAGCAGACTGGGGTCCCTGACAATCCTTCCCAGAAGATGGAAGACACAAGGCACATTGCCATCCAGAGCCTTCCAAAACCCACTATTCCAACTGACTAAGGGAGCGTCACCCTAGGCCTCAGTGTCCTTGTGTATAAAACAAAGAGGTTAAGTGGAGAGGCCCCTAAGTTCCATCTTGTACAAATGCTTTAGGGTTATACTACTGATTTTTCATTGGCCAGTTATCTTGCATTTGTCTTCCTACCATTAAAGTTAATTATAGATGTGAGCTTTTTAGGATTCTGACAGAGCATTGCAGTAGAAAAGAGCAGTCTCTGAAAAGCAGACAGAAAAGCAACTGGATTGTATTTTGGGATAAAACAGAAAAAATAAGCAGGCAGTCTGTCTAGTATTTTGAGGCCCCAATTTTCTACTGCTCCTACCCAGAAGCAGCACAGCCCAAAAACAACCTTGAAAATATCTGCTTTCTGGCCCTGTCATCCCCTTTCCCTGTTTTTCAGATCTCATCTCTTTCCCTACCACCGTTCACGGCCCCTCCCCCAGCACAACTTTACTCCTCAGCTACTCCTGGCCCCCAGGATCCAACCCCTGACCCCAACCATAGGGCAGACCCTGACAACATCAAGCATACTCTTATATTCTCTCCTATACCCTTCTTCAGCTGCTGGCAAAGTCAACACCTGTAATAGTTAGGCATCATGACCTGTAATGGTACCAAGTTTCCAAGGCAATGCAAACTTATCTAAGCTGTGAAAGTGGTAAATTCCAAAGGAAAGGGTGGTGGGGATCTCTCTGGAAGAAGGTGAGGGATAAAGAGCACCCCATGCCCTTGAAGCCACACTGCAGGCAGCTGCTTGTAGGATGAGGGTAGAGAAAGCAAATGTCCCCAATTAAGGCCTCAGAGGTCTGAGCAGTACCCAACAGAGAAAGCCACTTAGTTGAAAGCAGGCCACCGGCCACAGGCCACAGACTGAGCCCACAGCTGTGGAGGCTGCTTCCAGCAAGTTCCATCTTATAACGTCGTCACTTGCTTTCACTGGCCACTGCTATCCTTTCTTTCTCAGTGTTGCTCGGGGGAAGCAACAGATAAGATAAAGGCCTGGAGCAAAGCCAACTCTCTCAGAAGTGAGCCACGTTAATCGGTCCAGGACATGTGTACCTCCTTCCATAATATACCCCTGGACTCCAGACCACAGTTCCTCATCTGCCACTCAATACCACAGATGGATTTCCAAGAAAAAATGAATCTGCCATAAAATTAATGGCCATGGCAGTCCTTCACACACCATTGCTGTCTTTGGAACTCAACTGTTAGGAAGAAAAGCCACCTCAAAGTGAAGCACAGGCCACTGACTGGGAAAAGGAAGCAAAGCCTAGAGCTTTTGGTTATCTCCTGGTTTTATAAAGTATGTTTTTGTGCAGTGCCTGGAAAATATTACTCATAGATGGGCAAAATGTGAAATTCAGGTTTCATAAATCTTGAGGGGCAATATTCTATATGTTTTGAAGGCAACAGAGTCCTCAGAAGCTCCTACTTGAAAGTTCAAGTAGGAAATTTCTACTTGTAGAATTTTCTTTACTATATTTAAGAAAATAAAAATGTCCTCCCCAAATGTTCGCATATACACATTTTCCCAAAGAAGAGGAAAAGTAATAACAGCACAACATTCAACCAGCAGGTGACTAATTTATTTATGTCTCAATTTGTTCTCTCAAGCAATGGGGATGGCTATCTCAACTTCCTAAGATTGGTACATGGACTAAATAAAATATGAAAAAAAAAAACCTAAGCAGTGTCAAGAATGTAGTAAGCCACGCTGGGCGCCAGTGGCTCAAGCTTGTAATCCTAGCTACTCAGGAGGCTGAGATCTGACTATCACAGTTCAAAGCCAGCCTGGGCAGGAAACTCTGTGAGACTCTTATCTTCAATAAACCACTAGAAAACCTGAAGTGGTGCTGTGGCTCAAGTAGTAAAGCACTCACCTTGAGCTGAAGAGTGCAGGGAAAGCACCCAGGCTCAGAGTTCAAGCCCCATGACCGTCACCAAAAAAACAAAAACAAAAACAAAAGCCTAAGATGAAAAGTAATCCCACATTCAAATTTTAGAAATAGAATTTTTTTCTGGCCAGATTTACTAATTTCCTAGGATTGGACAGCACTCCACAAATAGCCCTCCCACACAATTCTGCCCCCTGACTTCAGGCATAACTATGTGGCTTGCTTGGAGATGCAAGTGAAGACTTAAGATGGGTTTCAAATGTGTATAGATACAATGTGGCTCTGGTGGCTCCTGGTCTAAGAAAGTTAAACTTGAGCCCAACTATGATGGAAAACCAAGCCAACCCTGTGCCCAGTAAACCTCAACCTAAGAGGGAACAATGATGTAGAAAGTTGTGTGCCAACAACTCTTGGTGTGACTTTCTAAGCAGGAGATTTGGAGCTTTGAAACACTGGCTGGGTGGCTAACTGGATAGAATATCCAGCCTGCACTCCATCAATCTCCCAGTTGACCTTTCTTGTGATGAGTCATGAGGTTTTTCTCCAAAGAGCACGTGTTAAGCAGAGGCATTGATGCCAAGTTAGAAGACATCACTTCCACTCCCAGATCTCAAAATCACCATTTCTACTGCAAGTCCCACCAATGCTCCTTGAGACTACATCTGCTATGCAGACCAACCTGCTCCCATGTATATACTACTATGACTGAAGCAGCAGTTATCCCAATAACTGCCTCAGGTTTGAAGAAAACCTCACAACTGAATTACTGAAATAGTGTTAGACAAAAATAAATTGTAATTCATTTTTATGGCTGTTGTTTGGATGTGCAACTTTCAAGGAGAACATTTCACCAAAACTATCCACACACTTGGGTTCAATGCTACTATTGCCACTTTCAGAGTTCTTCATGAAAGGCAAGTCTCCTAAATGGGAGAGAACTAGCCTTACCCAAACACAGACTGTTTAATTTAGAGCTAATTCTGAGCTCTACTGCAAGAAATGTGAGGCAATAAATAATGATAGTCTACAGGAGTCTCCAGGAGGAAAGTCCCATAGAGTCAACACCTGTTACTTGGTATTCTGTGGACTGCTCAGAGCCATAAGCAGCTGCTAACTAGCACAACAGAAGTGGAACTCTTCCCAGATGATACTAAATTTTATGAAATTTACATGGCTAGACTAATTGAGAACACAGAGATGATTTACATAACCATGTCCCAGGTCACATAAAGAGCTGTGAATGAAATGACACTAGGACAATAACCAGTTCAGAATCCACTCAATCAAATATCTGTAAACCTCAATAATCTTGATCCCAGGATTAGATTACTGCACAATTTAGATTACTGCACAAATAAGAGGCCAAATATAAGAAGTCCAAAACAGTGTACAAGTCTGGTAGCTATGTAGACAAAATTGTGAGACATTTCTTTTTTTTGGAGGGGGGTTCGGTTGTGGGGCCAGAACTCTGGGCCTGGGCACTGTCCCTCAGCTCTTCATCTCAAGGCTAGCGCTCTACCACTTGAGCCACAGTGCCACTTCCGGCTTTTTTTTTTGCTTATATGGTGCTGAGGAATCGAACCCAGGGCCTCAGGCATACAAGGCAAGCATTCTACCACTGAGCCACCTTCCCAGCCCTGTGAGACATTTCTTAACTGTATCATAAAGATGCAATAGAGACCCAGTCTGACCATTCACCCATCCCTGTACTGTGGTTATAAGTACCTAAGGGATGGTCAGTATAGAAATGAGATGTCTTTCAGCGTAAAGCTGTGGAACGAACAGCCAATGTGGAGTTGAGGAGCACCCTGTGAGGACCTGACATCAGATCTGTTCCAGCACCCAGCAGGACACTTGGCATTACCACTTGGTGTACCTTAGCCATATGAAGAGTGTCCTGAGCCAAGCCTCCTCTGACAGACTATACCTGGTCTTTACCTTCTTTACCTTCTTCACCTCACCCCATTTATTTCTCATGTGAATTTAGGTTATCCCACCTTACTTAATTATATCATTTCTATATGTCACCTTGAATCATTTCAGAACAAGGCCATGTTAGTGGAGATGGACCATAGGTCTAAGAGTCAGAAAGTTCTGGGTCTCATCAGAGGAGGAATTTAGGGATGTACCCAGAAGACATTTAAGCAGAACAGGTTGATTAATGCAAAATAGCATGAACTCAAAGAAACTGAACCCTCCAGGTGGGAGAGTGGCCAGGCTCAAGAAGGAACACTACCAAGAGTCCCAAGACCTCACACCACCATGGCAGTGGTCAGTCCTGAAACGAGGTATGCCATTAACCTCTAGAGATTGGGATATGTGTTATAAACTCTTTCCACATTATACACAAGAGTACATGGCCTTGGATGGTCAGACTCAAGGTGTCATTTTTCTCAAGCTGCAGGGGCTATAGATCAACAAGACTTTTGTTGATCTTGGTCTGTTTTGTCATTTTGCTCTTTGTTTGGGATGTGATTGCTTATTAAAATCCAAGCTACCATTCTCGACCATCAGGTTTCCTAACTTCTTTCCTAACTCCTATATCAACAGGATATATGTAAATAAATCAAAGTTGATTCTTCTCGATGACAGTAGAGGAAGCTAAGATGCCACCAATGCTGGAATTATTGAGGGTTTCTGAGTTGTAGTTTTTATGTTTTGGGGGTTTTCCTAAAAGTGGTCTGTATCTGACTTAGAATATTAGCCTGGTTCAGGTCTGTTCAGCAACTGTGCCCAAAGGACTTCTGATAAAACGACAGCAATAATGTCACTCAGCTTCACAAAGAAAACAGAAGTCTCACCATAATATAGATGAGAAAATCAAGTGCTAAATAAGTAAGACCACTACAAGGCAACAACTGGTTCTTGAGGCCATGCATAGCCATCACACAGGAATAGATTGAGAGTCACTCTCAGTAGTCACCAAATGCCCCACCAATGACCACCACATCCAGTAAGGGACAGAGCATTGCCATGAGTGTCACTCAGATCTCACAGACCTGAACACACAAACACACACACACACACACACACACACACACACACACACACACACATCACTATGATCATTTTCCACAGCAAGTGGTTTTTCCTTTGAAAATATCAGAGTCTTCTCATCTGCAGGAGCATTTGTAAAAGTTCATAGAGTGATGTGAGGGAACACTGGAGTTTTCTCTGGTTTCCTGTTAAATAGCTGCTCCTATAGCATCAAAACCACAATCCTGCAGAAGAACGGACCTTCTAGTTCTAACGTTTGCAGGTGTAACCAACGGATGCCCTCAGCCATCTCTGAATCCAAATAATACTCACCAGGAAGAGCAGACATTTCCCGAATGGCTGTTGAATTCATTTCTAGCAATTGAGCCATGAAACCTTCCTGGAGTGAAAACACTGAGCCCCACCACTAGGATCAAGTAAAAGATGCTTTGTCTTCCTACACCTAGCTGCAGTGATGTGGGCTATAAATCCACTCCATTGCCACAGCAAATAATGTTAGATTATAATTATTTTTCCTCTCCATAAACCTACAGTAGGTCTAAAGAAACCAACAGACCTTGAAGGGAAAAAGCTAGATCTGATTACCAACTCCCCCCTGAACCTTCAAATCCCTCCAGCCAGCACCTCGCCCCATAAACTATCATTAGCCAGAGGAAGCAGGTTTGTGGTTATGTTGGAGGAAAAAGAAAAGTCAGTTAACATTGAAATGAAGAATGGGCCTTTAAAAATGACTCAGTTAACCAAGTGCCCTTGAATAACCTTGAACTTGGAATTGGCAACCATCTCACATGCAAGAAGAGGAAAAAGCGGGTGCAAGGTGGTGCAAGTCACAATTAGAGCACTTATCAAGTGATACACACACTTAAGGTTAAAATGTTTCATTTCCTTGCCATTTGGAATAGACTGGAATTCTAGAATAAATGAATAAGTATGAAAATAAGTATGAAAACCTGCTCTCCCAGTCCATAGTGGCCTTCTCCTGTCTATGTAAATGAATGAAGAAGCAGAGGCCCTCCTCAGACCACATCATCAAAACCCTTGGAGCTATTACTCACTGAGGGCCAGGTACTGCTCTATGTAAGTCAATCCTTATTGAGTTCCTGATTTCCTGATTTCAGGATTTAACCATCCTGATTTCCCCAGTAAGCCCAAGTCTCTTGTTCTTTGGATCAAAGGAAAGGGTAGGCTTGTATCTGTTTGATTTGGCAGCTTCTGTGGGTCTCCATGTATTGTAACAAACATGAAAGCCAGATTTATGACACTATGCAAAGCATCCTGAACAGCTAACCCCAGGCTCCTGGCATTGGTGCTATAAGGCAGATAAGCACAGAACATCTTAATCATGGAGGTGGTTCTAAGCAAAATATTCAAATGGGGCACCTGGAATTATTTGCACACGTCTAAGTCATTATAGAAAATGCTATGGTAATCCATAAATATTGCAATGTATGTGGTACATAGAAATAGCTTTTTGAAATTGAGGTTAACCCCTACATAAAAGTAACCAAAGTGAACAATTCAGTGGCATTAAATATAATCACAATGGTAGGCAATTACCACCTCTATCTTATTCTAAAACATGTCATCATTCCAAATAAAATGCCATCTCCGTTCAATAATGTCCCTCCCTTCTCTCTTCCCCACAGCTCCTGGCAACTACCAGGAGCTTTCTGTTTCCATGGATTTACTTATTTTTGATATTTTATATAAATGTAATCATACAATATGAGAACTTTTTGTGACTGACGTTTTTCTAAGGATACTGATTTCAAAGACCATATAAATTGTAGCATGTGCCAGTACTTCATTTCTTTTTTATAGCTAAATTAAAGATCACTGTATGTTTATAGCACCCTCTGTGTATCCATGTATCAATTAGTGTACACTTGGGCTCCTTCTACCTTTGGTTTACTATAAATAGGGCTGCTATGAGCATCCATTTAGAAGCATTTGTTTGACCACCTGTGCTTTTGTTTGCTTTTTGGTATGCAAAGGACAGGGATAGAACCCAGGGCCTTGCAAATACTTACATAAGCACAAACTCTACCATTGAGTGATACCTACAACCTTAGCTTCTATTTTCAATTTTGTTGGACAAATACCTACGAGTAGAAGTAGCTTTTGATATATAAAATATTCAAGTGTATAATGTTGAAGGTAATAAACTTGACATTTCAAATCTGTGCAATATTTGCTCATAGGGATGATAAATTTTAAAGTTTCTATACCCTGACATATCTCTAGAGCTGCAAGTTACCATAAGTACTGAGTACAAAGCATTTTTCCTTAACTTGACAACAAAGACAATAATAATGGCAATAGTGATGATAATAATGATAACATAGAAGGTAATACTGGCACTATAAGCCCAGCATTATAATAACTAGCATACTTGCCATCTCTCATATCACTACTTTATATTACTATAGTGTTTTAGATAGATAGATAGATAGATATAGATAGTTCTCATTTTCCATGGAGAAAGTCACATCCCATATGAGTCTCAAACCTAACAGAATTCGAATGCCCAAATTTCTAACTATTAGAATACATTTTTTTCATTTCATAAAAAACAACCGATATGGGTAATTACTACTTATGTTGAGCCTGGTCTTAAGCAATATATCTAGATTGTAGTTACCACCTACATATGCTGACACAAATTGTGTTATCTTTCCTGCAATGTAACAGATCTTATATGTCCCCATTAGTAGCTGCATAGAATTAATGTTCATCATTATTAGAAAACCACAAGCTACAGTAGAGTAGGACCCTGCATCTGCCCCACCACACAGTACCCAGTGCATGCACAATGCCTGGCACCTTGCAGATACTCATTAAATATGTGCTCAACACACGGATCTGCACTGAATTCTTTCCCTATTGGCATATCTTGCAGGCAATCAGCTTTACCTTTTTCTCACCCCATGTCTAGCCTCACCTGTAGTCAGTAGATGTGGTCCCACTTTTGTCCTAGTTCCTCTTCATTTAGATCAGGGCTTTCATCCATGTATGGATCCTGCTATGCTCAAGGACACATCTTCCAAAAAACACCTCCAGGACTCTGTGCCCATGCCCCTATAAGACCACATGGGCCAGGCCATCCCCTACCTGACAGCTTGCATGGAATAAAGGCAAGTTTGTATAATCCCCAAACAGGCCTAGGAACTTGCTTGTTAATGAGCGTCTCCTGCAATTCTCATTTGAAGACTTTAAAATTTCCAAAATCATCCAGATGGTCATCAAGAACCACAGCCCTAAATACTCAGTAAACAACTTTTATTTGAATCACAGTCTTAAAACCATTAAACTAAGAACCAATTTTATTAAAGGTAATAGTTTTCTTTTCCTCTTCCAATAATTTAATGGAGGGAAAATGACCCTTTGTGACCCCCTCATAACTAATGTGTTAGGGAGCCATCTGGACCTGACAGTGAAACTGTACTCTGAAAAGTGGTGGGAAAGCCCTGGCTCTGAGGATACTAAAGAACATTTGCTGATGGAAAAAAGAAAGTCCCCCAAACCACAAATACAAGGCCCATTGTCACACCAGGGGCCTTATACTTGAAGTCACTTTTACTGAGATGTGTTCATCCTGGCTCATTATCCTTTCAC